AGAGAGTAGAGTAGTAGTAGAGAGAGAGAGAGAGAGAGAGAGAGAGAGAGAGAGAGAGAGAGAGAGAGAGAGAGAGAGAGAGAGAGAGAGAGAGGGAGAGAGAGAGAGAGATGGTGATTAGGAAAGTTGGGAAGTATGAGGTGGGGAGGACGATCGGAGAGGGGACGTTTGCGAAGGTGAAATTTGCTCAGAACACAGAGACTGGGGAGAGCGTGGCCATGAAAGTTCTCGACAAGGCCTCCATCCTCAAGCACAAGATGGCTGACCAGGTGCCTCTTTCCTTTTTCTTTTTCTTCTATAGAATGATTCCTCTGGTTTTTGCGGCTCTTCTCAATCTAAATAGAACTGAAGATGGATTGGTTCATATCCCTCTCTCTAAAAAGTTTCTCTTTTTTGTTTCTGCATTGCTCTTGTATTGAAAATTTGACATGATAATTGTAGTTTAGGGAGATTCTAGTAGTCTCCATGACATAGGCGTATTTAGGTACTCACAAATAGTGTGAGAAACCACTCTCTAAAAGGTTTGCAACACATATCCGGCCACCATTAGAGATATGGAATCAATAGTAACAGTTACAGTTGTAGACACAATAATTTTAGTTATTCTTAGTAGCATAATAGTGGTAGACAATTTGGGTGAATCCCTCAAATCTTTGAAAGGTGGTATGAGAAACAAATATAAAGCTACCATTATAGATGTAGAATCAGTAGCAACAGTTGTAGTCATAGACATTCTATCAAAAACACTACAATCATAGGTTTTCTTAGTAGTTTAATAGCTTTACACAATTTAGTTAAGGTTTGCCAAGCGGCAATGTACTTATATGTTTTATAGTGATAAATAAATTCGACAAAAGCACTGCAAGCATCCAGAGTTTTGGTATTAGTAATAGTGATAGTCATTTTAACATATTCGTTACATGTGTTGGTTTTCTTAGGAGGATTGGTAGTGTAGTAGTAGTAGTAGTAGTAGTGGTGGTAGTAGTTGCAGTTCTATGTCACTTTGTTGTAAAAAAACAACTATTCATCGTAATAGACTGGTAGTGGAAGTTGTAATAGGTAGAAGTTGTAGTAGTAAACCTAAACCCCCAGAATTGGAATGTCTTGGATTCCTGGCCAAGTTTTATTAAATTGGCTGAGTCTATTAGCCTTGAACTTAGCTGGGCTTTCCTGGTACACCAAAGGTGTTGTTTTGGTCAGTGGAGCACTCTCGATACGCTCTTTTATGGGCTTATGTGTTTTTTGCATTAAAATGAACAGAGTTATTCTTCAATCTGACATTGGTCTCCATTTTAATACCCCCAGAATCAGCAGGTCTTGGATTCCTGGCCACATCTTATTAAATTGGCTGAGTCTATTATCCTTGAACTTAGCTGGACTTTCCTGGTAGTCTGGTACACCAAAGGTGTTATTTAAGAAAGGAAATTATACATGTAGACAAAGGCCAGTGAACTGCATGGTTTTAACATGCATGCTAGGCAACCAATTGGAGCATTGCCATGGATACACCTCATAAACTCAAAAGATGAAGATCTCATCATCTTTTTATTAAAAATATCCCACTCTTTTAAGTCGTTTCAAGATAATTATCGCATGATTTTGAAGGCATTCAACAAGGTCCTATTATTTTCAAGCTGTTCAAGGCGGCAATTATCTCACAAGGTGATGTTGATCAACAGTAAAGTTTTTGTACTTAAACAGTGTAACTAAGTTTTGTAATAGCGACATTTTGCAATACATTAAATAAAAAGCATTCTGAACCATTTTGCCAATCTTCGGCAACATTGGAGTTGCAGATTGTGAGGAGCTTCACCTTATCGAGTTATAACCAGTCTTTGTTTGTTATGGGTCATTACAGTGTTAACTTGCTAACTGCTTTTTTACCTATTCCTCAAAAAAAAAAAGGCTTTCTAACTGCTTTTTGTCCTTTAGTGATCTATCATACTAAGAGAAGTTAAGGGGACTCCACTAGCCTTTGATCTCCATGTTTTTAATTTGTATGCTATGTCCATTAATCTGAAAGTAGTTCCAACAAGTTGAATGCAAACTCTATGCAATGTATTTTTTTGCTTCTCTACCAAAGAAAAGTGAACTCTGTAGATGAAACCAATCATTATATGATGCATTAATCAGTTTTGCTTAAGTCATTAATAAAGCAACTACATATTTTACTAACAAACTAAATTAGGAATGGCTGTACTAAAACACCTGAAAAGTTGTTGCCTGGTTGTAAAATAAACGCATGAACAGGTATGGTATCATAATACCTGGAAAGATCATAGTGGCCTTGGGGGTTGATGGTGCTTGAGTCTCATTATTTTTTATGGCTATCTCTTTTTGTATTTGACTGGTAATGATAAAAATATTTATTAAATACACAAAACATAAAAGGTGGGTTAGGGAAACCTTAAGGTGGTAGAAAATCCTGTGACCCCGAACAATTTCCATTGCCACCAAACGGTTTGCATCCCTTCCAACGTAAAAAAAAAAAACTATAAAATGATGATTAAAAGGTCTTCAATTTCTGATAAGAATTTAACCAATCTCCTTGGGATTTGAGACTCTAGTTTGAGCATCTGATTATATTAGCCATGTAACAAAATCCCTTGGTTAGCAGTTGAATAGCTTGTATTGTCATGTACACCTTGGTTCTAACTTCATCAGTGGCTCGAAGGTCCTCTGAAAATCTTAAACTAATGCGTTGTGCATTCATTGTCTTGTCAAAGGTTATCAAAGGTTCACGTGTTTTCCTGTCTTGCTTGAACATGATAAAGAAGAATTGAGTTTGAAGTGAATATTATTCATGTTAGATAAACTCTTAGATATATGCATCTATAATTGTTTCTCAAGTAGATTTCTTAAGTCAACAGAATAAAAATTTCAGGATATAATTGGAAAAGCAGAATATTGTGTGATACATTTGCTTTACTATATGAGCTCTGAACAAAATAGGCTTTTTGTTTTCTTTGCCAGATTGATAAAATCTATATTAAGGGCATTCCAACGAGTGCATTGATACTTGAGGCAGTTCACTTCAATGTGCTTTCCAGTATTCTTATTGAAAATAATAATGTGACATGTCAAGTATTTATTCTGAAGTTGTTTTTATTGACTTCCTATCTGCAGATTAAGAGGGAAATATCCATTATGAAGCTTGTTCGACATCCTTATGTTGTTCGCCTGCACGAGGCATGTATTCGTCATGTTTCCTTTTTTCACATTTTTTTTCTAGTGACTGTACTTTATTATTACTGTCATTTTGTGTTTGATCTTCTAAGTGAAGCACATGTATATACTAATTTATATTAACTTGATTCATTGTGAACTATAGGTTTTGGCTAGTCGTACAAAGATATACATAATTCTGGAATTCATCACAGGTGGTGAATTATTTGATAAAATAGTAAGATTCCTCTGTTATTTCCCTTCTAACGTGCTCAGATTTTGTTGATTCCAGTAATTGTCTATTTTTTATTAAAACAATCTCTCTTGTTTGTTCTCTGGTTGCTGAGAGATCTGAAATATCGTTGATATATATGCTAAGAGTACTGCCCTATACTCATGCTTATTCTTCTGTTATTTCCCTTCTAATGTGCTCAGATTTTGTTGATTCCAGTAATTGCCTTTATTAAAACAATCTCTCTTGTTTGCTCTCTGGTTGCTGAGAGATCTGAAATATTGTTGATAAATATGCTAAGAGTACTTCCCTATACTCATGCTTATTTCCTTATACTCATGCTTGTGAAATTATGAGTGCTTACAATAATATGTTTTACCAAAAGTTAGTGTAAAATTTTCTTTTCTGGGAGGGATGTGGGAAAGCAGAGATACAGAGATGCATCAGAAGCAGATCAAGAAAAAAATTTGAGTCATAAGCTAGCATACAGACTGATTTTAGAAGGGTTGGAACCCTTTATCATAAAAGCTTATAAAATGGGAAGGATGCAACACCAACAACACCACTCCTACCCACTGCAGCCCCCCTCTATGAAGGGGGAGGGGGGAATTGAACATACCATACTGTTATTCTATACGTATTGTCATTTTAACCAACAATGCTATGTACAGGGCCGATCATGTTTCCATATATCAGCTTATCAGTTGGTTTAGGCATTTCACTGGGGTTATGACTGGATCATCCCATCAGTTTTTAGCCAACAGGCTCATGCCCTCAGGTCCCAATTCAGTAGTTTGAGGGGTGATTTACACCCCCTCCCACAACACCAGCTAAGGAAGATCTTCCCTGTTTTCTCTGTTCATCTGTCTTGCATACCCAATTTCAAGTGCATAAGGGTTTTATAACACAAAATACCCCTTCTCCATGCTGTTTATGAATTGAATATAAAGGAACAACTGAAATACTCCTTCATGTCTAAAGGTATATGCATGTATACAGGGAACTTATGTTGTTACCATATTGGTGATTCTGCATTGGCCAGAGGAAAGAATTTCACTGACATTTTCATCTTCATTACATATATATTATAGTTTATGTTCTCCATGCTTCTCTATGGTGATTTGTAGAAATAGCTTGTAGATGTGGTGCAATTTTTCAGCTCTATGTAATCTCTTTCATGAATGAATAAAAATGTGCATGCACATTATGTTAGCAGGTTCATTGGGGAAGGCTAAAGGTATATGCATGTATACAGGATGCTTATGTTGTTACCATATTGATGATTCTGCATTGGCCAGAGGAAAGAATTTCACTGACATTTTCATCTTCATTACATATATATTCTAGTTTATGTTCTCCATACTTCTCTATGAGTGATTGTAGAAATATCATGTAGATGTGGTGCAATTTTTCAGCTCTATGTAATCTCTTTCATGAATGAATAAAAATGTGCATGCATATTATGTTAGCAGGTTCATCGGGGAAGGCTTAGTGAAAATGACTCAAGAAAATACTTTCAGCAGCTCATTGATGGGGTGGATTTTTGCCACAGTAAGGGAGTGTACCACAGAGATTTGAAGGTGTTCTATGACTGGTAATCAAATAGTTTTTGCCAACTAATGTGATACGAACTTCTAATTGATTACGTTGCTCATTTGTACAGCCAGAAAATCTTCTGCTTGATTCACAGGGTAATCTGAAAATCTCAGATTTTGGCCTCAGTGCATTGCCTCCACAAGTATGATATGTTTATGCTTTCTCTCTCTCTCTCTCTCTCTCTCTTCTTTTTTTGTTTTTTTCTAACATAGAAACAAACAATAATTAGGGATTGTATATGATTGTGGCAGGGAACTGACCTTCTTCACACAACATGTGGAACACCGAACTATGTTGCTCCAGAGGTACTCAATTATAATTGCTCATTGAGTATGGCCTTATACTTGTTTTCTAAATTTAGCGCGAAATATGATGTGTTAATCACGCTTTTTATTATTGTTACAATTCCTAATATATATTTTGCATTTTCTTTCGCTGAATAGTCGGCAATACAATACCACAATCTATATACCTTAGAAAATACTAGCTTGAACAAAGATGATGAAACCTATATTAGCTTAGAAATGTCTAAACCTAGTTAGAACTTATGAGAATGGCAGTGTTCTAAAAAAATATAGCTCAGGCAAGGTACTTGGCACCTACCTGAGCCGAGTTACTTGTGTGAGTGGACTTGGACTCACCCTAGTCACCACGTCTGAGCCATAAAAATATGACCAAAAAATGAAAAAGCTGTAAAAATTGTAAAAAATAGAAAAATTCTGAAAAATATGTAAAATACAAAAAAACTTTAAAATAAAAAATGTATAAAACATGGAATTGAAATACAATTGATATTATTGGCTTGAAAAAAAAATAGAAAAATCGAGAAAAATGGGGAAAAAATATAAAATTGAACTGAACTCACCAAATCGGCCCAGCAGGGTAACTGTGTCACGCAAACTGCGACACAGTTGTCTAGACCCGTCAACCTCCAAAATGGCTAGGGTACGGAACTGAACTCACCAAATCGGCCCAGCAAGGTACAGGTGTCCCTTTCTTGACGAATACGAGGATGGAGGTTCAGAAGATCCTGCTCCCCTCCCTAAGACCAAAGTCGGTGCATGCAAGGACTGATATCCTAACGAGCGCTAGGACCGAAGTTGGCGCTTCATTCTCTGATCGAGTGTCAACCCCCCTGTGTTGACCCGGTACCCCTTCTCGAATATGTGCTTAGCCTGCATGCCGTGTTGCCAGGTAACCCCCTAGGGACCCAGCGTGCTTTACGTCGGTGCACTCGATTCCAATGGCCCCAACATTTATTCTCTTCGACCCTTTCTTCTCTTCGGCTGCCACGTCCCTTGTTACGCAGCACACTCCAGGCCACGCATTAACTCCTTTCGACCCTCTCTTCTCTTCGGTTGCCACATCCCCCGATGCGCGGTCCTCTCCAGACCACCTGTTGCTCTCGCCTTTATTGCCTCCGCCGTCTGGGCACTCCTCCGGTGCCGACCCATCACCTCCTTTGATCTCTCTTCTGTTGTCGACCTCACCTACCACCTCTCAATCGTCCTTCGAAACGCCTCCTCTCTCTCCTCCCCCTGCTACTGCCACTTCGCCTACTACCCTACCTCGAGATCCTGACCTACCTCTCTTTCCCCCTCCTCCTAATGTTGCCCCTTCACCTTCGGCGGAAGCCCCTTTCTTTCCCCCTCTTATGGCACCTCCTTTGCCTTCGCTTTTTCGCCACCTACCCTTTGAGCCCCCCTCTCTATTGGCCCCGGCGACCCTCTCCTCTCTCACCCTTCTGAGCCTCCTCTCCAAGCCTCCCCATTCTTCTCCTCTTACACCATCGATGGACCGTCCTCCTCTCCCCTACGGCTTCGTGGCTGTGCACTCCATGGACCCTTCCCCCCCAGATCTAGACTACATCTCCTCCCTTCTTGCCCCACATTTTTCCTCTTCACCCCATCTGGTCCGCATTTGTAGGATACACACCTTCCACTTCAACTATGCCTTCCACAACCTGTCCCGCCACTTTTTTACTTACTCCCCCTCTTTCACCCACCATGCCTCTCTCTACCCTTTTAACCCCTTTCCTCTCCTATATCTTGCCGTTCTCGACCATTTCTCGCCCCCTATTCTTCCTCTTGGGACCAGGGCATGCCAAACTCGCCTCCCTTCTCCTCTGCTGAGCCACTCATACTTGCCTCGCCGGGCTTCCCCTCCCCTACCTCGCCTTTTGCCCCCTCACCCCTCCCCTCACCTTCTTCTGATCCTCCCTCTGTTCCCCCTTGCTCTGTGGATCCCTCTATCCTCCACCCTTCCTCTTCCTTTGAACCTATTCCAACCCTACCTCTTGACCTCTACCCTACCCTTTCTCCACCTCTTTTTCCTCCTGAGCAGGTCTCGGGTTCGCTCGAGGAGCTTGGCACGCCCATCTCTCCCCCCTTGGCGAGGGACAACGACGACGGGGATGGGAATGATCGAGACTTAGAGAGAATGAACGAATTATTTTGGATTATGGGCTTTTAAGATGAGGGCCCTGAAGGACTTGCCCTCTAGTTCTTTCTCGCAGATGCTCAGAGTCGATTGAAGGTGAGTTTTAAAGGACAAAGGGAGTTTCTTAATCGCTTTTCGACAATCTCATACGAAGGCCTCTCTTCAGAAGGTCTTCGTGCCACTATCTCCTCCCCCCTTCTGAGGTGGTCTGTTAGATTAGCCTCAATCTCAACTCCTTCTCCAACACCATGAAGCTTCTCACTTGGGACATTAGAGGCTTGGGACACTTCTCCAAAAGGGAGGTCGTCAAGGACTTGGCCTTGAAACACCGTCCCACTATTCTTGCTCTCACTGAAACTAAGCTACTGAACCCTCTCTCCACCTCATCCGCCAGGTCTGGGGTAGGAGGCCATGCCAGTGGGTTGTTGTCCTACCTACGGATAGGGCTTCAGGGGGTATATGGTTGATCTGGGACCCCACAGACCACCTCCTCCTATCCTCCTATCTAGGGGAATTTTATGTTACTGTTCTCCTGTCTCTATCTCTGATGGCTTATAGTGGAAATTCTCGGCCATTTATGGCCCCTGCTCTGCTTCGCTTCGTTCTCGCCTCTGGACAGAACTGGACTTCGTGGCTTCCCTACCCTACCCAATTTGGTGCTTGGGTGGAGATTTCAATATTACTCGATGGTCTCATGAGAGAAACTCCAGCTCTAACATCTCTCACGGTATGACGGATTTCTCGGATTTCGTCTTTAGAAATGATCTCCTAGACATCCCACTACAAGGAAACTGCTTTACCTGGTCCAATCACTCCCCCTAACCTACTCTCTCTAAACTTGATAAGTTTCTCCTAGCTCTGAATTGGGAGGAACTCTTTTCGGGATCCCATGCCATGGCCCTGCCTAAACCCACTTCTGACCACTGCCCCGTTCTTCTTAGCACCCAAGCTATTAGTAGAGGTCCGAAACCTTTTAGATTCGAATTGGCTTGGCTTGAAGAAAAATCCCTACCTAACTTGATTTCCATCTGGTGGAACTCTTTTCTAGCCAGCTTTCGGGAAGTGCAAGCTATGAACTCCATATTAAGATTCAACTCCTCAAAGCCTCCCTAAAGACTTGGAGTTTTTCCATCCTTGGGAATTACTCACAAGTTAAGTCCTCTCTTTTAAATTCCATCCAAGACTTGGACTCTCTTGAGGAGTCCAGAACTTTGACAGCCACTGAATCTTATCTGAGAACCCAAACCAAACTTGAATATATCTCTACCCTAAAAAAAGAAGAGCTTTACTGGTTCCAGAGATCTAGAGTCAATTGGCTTAAAACAGGGGACCATAGAACTCGCTTCGTCCACCGGATAGCAAGTTGTCATAGGAGAGACAATACCATTTCGACTATCAAGTCGAATAGTAGCTATCTAGTATAGCCTGAAGAAATCGAATCTGCTATTTTAAATTTTTTCCATACCCTTTATGCTACTCCGCAGGGTCCCAAACCTATATAGCCGACCTTGACTTCCATACCTTGTCTGAAGACCAGGCTCTATTGCTGGAGCGTCCTTTCCTCAAAGAGGAAATCTTGAAAGCCTAAGATGACCTAGCCAAAGATAAAGCTCCTGGCCCAGATGGGTTCCCCATTGCCCCCTTCAAAATCTTTTGGGAAACCTTTCGCCCAGACTTCATGAGTTTCTTCACATAATTTTTCCATCGGGGAATACTTCATAAAGCCATTAACGCTACTTTTATTGCCTTGGTCCGCAAGGTTGAAGGGGCAGAGGAGCTAAAGGACTTTCGCCCAATCAGTTTGCTCAACTCCTCCTATAAAATCCTGGCCAAGGTGCTGGCCTCAAGATTACAATAGGTCCTTCCCTCTATTATCTCGTCTTCACAGTCAGCCTTCATTAAAGATAGGCAAATCGTGGACGGAGCTCTAGTTGTCCACGAGTGTATCCACTCAAGGCATTTGGTTAAAAAGCCTGGTCTCATCTTTAAGATCGACTGGGAGAAAGCGTATCACGATGTTGATTGGTCCATACTAGATGAGACAATGGCAAGAATTGGATTCCGTGGTCGCTAGAGAAACTGGATGAGAGGTTGTTACTCTCATCCGCATTTCTCGATACTCATAAATGGAACCCCAAAAGGATTCTTCCCTTCCTCGAGGGGATTACACCAAGAGGATCCTCTCTCCCTTTTCCTTTTTGCAATCCCAGCAGAAGTCTTTAGCCGATCCTTATCCCGAGTATACCAGGTCTCCTCACAGGTTTTAAAACTTCTCACTGTGGCCTTATAGTGTCGCACTTGCAATACGCAGACGACACTTTGGTATTCCTAGATGCATCGCCTCAAGAAATTGATAACTTGAGGCTCTCTCTGAAATGTTTCCAAGTGGCCACAGGCTTCAAGGTCGATATGGAAAAATGAAAAATGATGGGTGTAGTTCCCAAATCAGAGAGCTGATCCCAAATTGGGATTGCAAAGTCTACCTTTGGGGCTGGGAATACCGAAAAAGAGGCATTGGTCTCACGTGATAGACAAGGTTGATAGGCGTTTGGTTAGGTGGAAAGGGAGATACCTTTCTCAAGCAGGCAAAATCACTCTGATCAAAGCACCTTGGCCAATGCCCCTATGTACCTTATATCTCTTTTCCAAATACCAACTTCAGTAGCAAATCGCTTTGACCAACTTATGAGGAACTTTCTCTGGTCAGGACAGGCAGAGAAAACAAAATATCATTTAATCTCGTGGGATAAGGTCTGCTTACCTAAACATTTGGGGGGGCTGGGGATCAGGCTCCTAAGAAAACACAACTTGGCCCTTTTAGGGAATGGTGGTGGCACTTGGCCACTCAGACAAATTCCCTCTGGGCTCAAGTACTACGCATTAAATACAAGATTCCTGAACGCACTTGGGTGCTAGAGAGGAGACCTTGGAGCAATGCATCAGGAGCATGGAAGTCGTTTACCTTCTTCCTCGCATTGTTTCAAAAAATTCATCAGGCTTCATCCAAGGGAAGGAACAAGAGTGTGCTTCTGGTCAGATCTCTGGCTTGGACACACTACTAAGGGACCTCTTTCCATCCTTTTACGCCATCGCGGCAAACAAAGATTCTACTATAGAGAAGGAAATGGTGCCGGAGGGAGGTCGAAGAGTGTGGAACCCCTCATTCAGAAGAAACTTCTCCGAGGAGGAAACATACCACTTTCTCTCCCTGTCGACAACTTTGCACCTTTCTTTCATCCCTACACAAGCGAGGGACCAGCTGGTATGGTCTCTTGCCCCTACAGGGGTCTGCTCAGTAGCCTCTTTTTACAAGAAACTCATCCAACCTCCCAACTTCCCCCTAAACCCTCCTTTGGCTCTTTCTAAGGTTTGGCATACTATAGCACCCCCTAAAGTGTAGACCTTCAACTGGATAGCGGGTTCTCAAAAGGCACTTATTGTCGATCACCTCCAAAAGAAAGGGAATCCCATCCCCAACAGATGCATCATGTGTTTGAGTGAGGAGGAATCTAATCTCCACCTATTCATCCATTATAATCTTGCCCACGACCTCTGGAGTCTATTGCTACAACTGTTCGGTGTCCACTGGGTAACACCAATGACGGTCAAGGACCTAATAGCTTCGGTTTATGCATTTCAATGGCTGAAGGCTGGAAGAACTCTGTGGAAGGCTGCAGTGGCAGCAACCATTTGGGTGATCTGGACATAAAGAAATGCCAGAATTTTCCAAGGACAGGTTAGCCAAGTCCCAACACTCTTTCATAAGGTTACATCCTTAGTAACCTTCTGGGCTTCTAACCAACACCTCTTCAAGGGTATCTCTGCGAATTCTTTCCTAAGTCTATGGGATAATATACTATTCCACCGACCACGGAAGGCACAAAGATCAAGCAACTGGAAGCCACCCCCTGAGCCATTAAACTTAACTTCGATGGGTGTTCTTTGGGGAACCCCGGCCATGCAGGAGCTGGTGGTGTCTTTAGAGATCACCAACGCAATATCCTTTTTACCTACTCCAAATATCTTGGCATACAAGATTACCAGTATGCCGAATCAATGGCCCTTCTGAGGGGCCCAAAAAGTTTCGATCAATCTTGGGGGCAAAACCTAATAGTGGAGGGTGATGCGTATAACATCATAACATGGGCAGCCGGGAGATCTACACCTCCATGGTATCTTGCTTCGATTTTTTATGAGATTGCATACATCCACAGGGATATGTCCATCTTATGGATGCATACCTCAAGGACGTCAAACGAGTTTGCCGATCTCCTGGAGAAGGATGGGGCTAGGGCCCATGAAGAAGATCAAACCCGGCCCATCTCCTTTTTTGCTCTGGACCACAAAGGATATACTTAGAAGAATGTAAACCTATTGTATGGGGGCAACCTTATAAGCCCATTTTTTGTACAGGGTCTGTTGACCTATTTTTTACCGAGAGTCCTGTCTAGAGGGTACTCTCAGATTAACCCAAAACCGTACTCCAACTATTTATATTAATTCCAAAGTTAACGTTTTTTTTTAAAAAATATACATAATTGATTTAGTAAAAAAGTAAAACCAAATTTACTAATTTAAATTTAAAAATTGAAACATAACCAAAATTTTGAAGCCATCAAATCGATTCCTCGAATCATTGTCAAATCTTTGTCAAACGACTCCGATCAAAATCCCCAAAACAATTTTAGGTTGAGTTTGGATCTAGGAGATTGAGCTTTTGAGAAAATTTGGATGGATATCAAATCTAAATACCAAATATCTCAAATCTTTTTTTTTTATTTTTTGTTTTTGGTTGAAAATAAAGTGTATGCTTGAACTAAGGAGACAAAAATAGGCTTAGGAATTGCAATTGTCAAAGATTGAACATTGATTGAGAATAAATCATCATTTTTCAAAATTGGGCAAACACTTGGCCAAATTTTTCCATCTAAAAAATCTGTCAAATTATGTCGTTTTCCTTGATTCTAAGGCTTCCAATAGATAGATCAAGGAAAAATTTAAGAAGTTAATTTGGGCTCAAACAGATCCATTTGGGAAAAAAAACGGGGGTGGGGGTGGGGTATTTCTGCCCCTCTCCGTGACTTGTATAGTCCTTGGCCAAGTACCGCACTAACTCACCAGAGTCCTATCAACTTTGGGCAAGTCAGCCCGAGTTTCACAGTGCTTGGGGGAGTTTGTATAGTATTCATTTAGATACTATACAGGGTACTTAGGTACCCTACTCTGGGGTCAGCAGTCTGCCAAGCCCTAATAACTTGCGAGTCTGAGTTTATTTGCGTGAGTTTTTGGACACTGAAAAATAGGAACTGGTAATCGAAAGGAAAACCATCTAGACAAAGGTTAGGAATTGACTTATTTGGATGCATTTCTAGAGAGATCACACGGTTTATATGGAAATCCATCTTGAATCCCATCAAAATGAACCAGAAGAAAAATATGAATTGAGCCACCCTTAGAAGAGGCACTTCATGGTTCCTGAGTACAGAAAAGAGCATTGACTGAAGAACCCTTGAAATGCACAAGATAACGTACAAGACTAATGTGGAAAGGATCTTAGTGACCTACATACAAGTAGAACTATCTTTTTTAACCATCCATTCATCATCATCATCATCATCATAGCCTTTTCCCAATTAATTGGGGTTGACTACACGAATCCCAGTCTGCTATTCTGCTCTATTAAGGCCATACCTCAATGAGGCCATAAGTCCCCATATCTTTTCGGACTATTTCCATTCACATCCTTTTGGGCCTATCCATTGCCCTTTTCCAGCTTTCTACTTGAACTAACTCGCATCTCCTAATAGGTGATGTACTAGGTCTGCGCTACACATGGCCAGCCCACCTAAGTCTACTCTTTCTAATCTTATCGCCCATTGGTGCCATACCTAAATTTTCTCGAATGGAGTCGCTTCGAATTCAATTTCTTCTTGTCTTGCCACTCATCCATCTCAACATCCTCATCTCTGCACTCATTCTATAAGGATCTTGTTTTTTGTCCACCCAATATTCCGCCCCATATGCAAAGCTGGTCTCACAGCTGTCCTATAGAACTTGCCCTTCAACTTCATTGATATGCGCAGCTTCATTGGTATGCGAAATAGTAGCAGGTTTTAGAGATTGAATTTAAATCTTGAATTCTGTGCACACTTCTAATTTGTCCTCAGAGGAATGCCTATTGGTGTACTAGATGCTCTCAATTTTGGCTTTACATTTGAAAGACTTGACACTACCCTGCGTATTATGTGCTGATGATATTGGAGACACTATGTTTTAAATGTTGTTTATGTTTACTTAGTAAATTTTGAAATAAAGCATCTAGCTATTTTTGGGCTGTATTTTTCAAAGGACCTTTTGTGTTTTGTCAAGAATTTTTAGAATAACTCACCTGGTAAACATTAACTTGTGCCACATTTTTATTTACTTTTACACTGCATCCCATACTCAAGCTATACATTTTCCGCACAGGTACTCGCCCATAAGGGTTATGATGGTGCTGTTGCAGATGTGTGGTCATGTGGTGTCATTCTTTATGTCTTATTGGCTGGGTATCTTCCATTTGATGAGGTTGATCTCACAACACTATATGGCAAGGTATTCTGTTATTATGCTTTTGTTTGGAAGATTGTCATATACCAAATATGCCTTTTCTTTGGCAGAGTGTCAAATCTCTTTCTTTTGCACAATGCCAATTATAAACATTCAGTATTTGACATGCCATTTGGATAATCGCATTGTCTAATATGAGTGTCATCTGTAGAACTTTGTTTAAGATAATTTAATCTTTATGATATTTTATTAAAGGTTTTTTATATTTCCTTCGTTTGAGGTTTACATGTTCCCTTGTGAAGGAAATCTAAGTTATTATTGTCAGTGTAGATTGAGAGAGCAGATTTTTCCTGCCCATCTTGGTTTCCTGTAGGAGCAAAGTTGTTGATCCATAAAATTCTGGATCCAAATCCCAATACTGTGAGTATATATATCCATGAAGTACACTAGCTTCGATGTTTTCTTATATTCTGATGACATTATATTTTTTCTTCTTTCTTTGATTTTTATTAAGAAAATCATATATTTCTGTTTCATGATAAAGAAATCATTATTATATCTGCTTATTTGGGTAGGTGATTACTCGGCTCTATATGGATTTGCTACAATAAGGATTATGTAGTTCTTATGCATGGTCTCTCCTTATCATGTAGTTCAAGTTTAATTGCTGGGAAGGTTTTTCTGGACTTCTTACACCAAATAAAAGTTTTTTCTGGAGTTACAAACCTCGCGTTTATTGTAATCCCTAAATCACGGTCACTTAACACATGCACAGCTTCTCATTAGACTTTTTTTTTTTTTTTGAATTTTCAGCTTCTCATTAGACTTAAAAAAATTAAATGAAGCATGTGACTTGCCCTTCTTCTGGAATCTGTTCCACATGACAGACAGTTGCACCCATCCAATTAATGGTTGCTTCTGGAATAAGAATGTGTTTTCTTTGTGTTGAACGCATCTCATAAGAGGATTAATTTATCCTCAATGTTTGCAAACGTATGCTTTTTGTACATGTCCATCATTTGAAAGCATATGCTCGGCTTCCGTTCATCCAATAGATTGCATCCAGATCTCCTGTAATGTCATGCTTTTATATCAATTATTTTGCGGAAAGCAACACTGGTTCCCTTAACATTGGGCTTAGACATACTTTTGATGATGAAATACTCGCACTTGTACATTTCCCTTTATCTAGTAATCATTGGTAAAGGAATCTATTGATTTATGTGGAACGCGTGAAGGCAAACTAATGTCTACTAATGTATCAAAATGCATGCTAAGGACTTACGAAGGTGATTTCTAACCAGAATCCAATCCTGCCTATCCAAAATCTGTTTTTTTTTCTTTGTTTGGGCTACAAATTATACTTCAGAGCAGCTGTTGCATATCATGTCAATGGGATTATAGCATTAATGAATCACACATTTTGGCTTACCAGAAACAAAGTCGTTAGTTCATGAATTAAAAAATTAGTCATCAGTAAACATCCAAAAAAAGTCAATCATATTATCTCACTAAGAAATCAATATCAATTAATTCATGAACAATATTGAGATTTTGGTGGGACCTATGTGATGAAGAAGTGCAAGAGTTGAAAACTCTCCTGGCCCTCCTTAACTCCCACCTTATTCCTAGACAAGATAGAGATAAAATGGTATGCGAGCCAGCCAAATCAGGTTGCTTTGCAGAATTGCAGTGGCTTCTACAAATATCTCCACCTAGGTGAGGGCCAACAAAGCACTTTCGGGCACATATACGCCCCCCTCCCCCCCCCCCAAAAAAAACCGGAAAAGAGAGAGCGAGAGAGAGAGAGAGCAACCCTCCACAAAAACAGGTTTCGCTGGGCTAGTGAATACCTTACAGAACCCATACTGTGGATCATTTACAGGGCAAGCGGGTCTTCTATGTAAAAGGTGAAGAAATAGCCAACCACCTCTTCATTCATTGTGACTTTACTTGCCATCTTTGGGCCTCACTGGTAAATGTCCTTTATGCTGTGTGGGTTTTCCCTGAATCCAACAGCTTTTCACGGTGTAGTTTCAAGTCCTCTTTCCAACTTCCAGACGACTTCTTTGGAAAGCTGCTATGATGGCCTGGTTTGGACCATTTGGATGGAGCATAACAGAAGAAATTACGAAGGAGAATAAACACAAAATACAACGGATCATGGTCAAACTCATGTTCCACTGTAATTTGATGGGCCTTTGGTCTTCTTAACAAATTGGCACTCTTCCTTAAGGTCTATACCCATGAGAATCTTGAGATCCATATGGTATTCCACTTGAACGAAGTACCGTCAAATTGAATATTGATGGAAGTTCCTACAGTAATCCTGGAAGGGCAGGCACTGGAGGAATATTCAAGAGTAATTCAGTGGCTATTCTCTTTTCATTCTCAGGGACCATGTGCAATACTACTTCTAAGGTGTCTGAAGCGCAGGCCTTTGCAATGAAGATTAAGTTATTCCTACAAGCATGGGGCTCCTCTGTAGTGGTGGAAGGTGAGTCCATGAATGTCATCAACTGGAAAAGAAAGGCATTTCCATTCTCCTGGGTTTTGGAACAAGTCTTTGAAGAGATTCATAAACTGTGCAGTTCCCTGTGTAATTTTTCTTGAGAAATGGAGAGGAGGCAATGTCCTAACAGTCATTCTTGCAAAGGAGGGTGCTGATTGCACAACTTTGGCCATCTCTCAGCCCAATCCATAAAAATGAACATGACAGGGTGAACGTAGAGGCCATATCCCTGGCCTATAAAGCACTGTAAGTGAGACCTCGGTCCAAGGTTGTCCCTCCCATCTCCTCTTCTTCCTCTACCCCCCCTCCCTTCTCCCTTTCCCTCTTGAATCATAAAGACAATGCTGTAATGCATTAAGAGAGGCATCCAATTCACAAGAGAGGTCCAATTCTTGTGAATGCCACCAATTTTGTAGCACATTATTATAATATAATACAGTTAGAATTTCTCAAGAAAATTAACTCACGAACAAATAAAAAAAGTGGTTCATAACCTTGAGCTCTTGATTTGTCTATTCATCGGGTGGGTTAACCTCTAGCATTAAGCAGACCATGTACTGCATTTTTTGTAAAGCAAACCTGTTATAAAATCCAGAAGCTTTTATCCATGAACTTTGCAGTAGCTGAAAAGTTTTTGAACTACACTAAGGGAAGTCAGTAAAAAACTCATTCATTCATCTGTATGGGGGAAGACCTATGTTTACTCACTAGTGGAGACTCTGGAAAATTTGCAGACAACATATTATTTCTCTGGGTTTTCACTTCTCCCTTAAATTAAATTTAAATTCGTTGAGTTGGATGTAGCATCAGAGACCTGTCTTACTAGAGTGATTAAGCAGAACATGTAGCATATGGAATCTGTTGGCTGCAGAAGTCAACAAGATCTGCTATTTTTGATGATGAACTTTTGCTCTATACAGGGTATGATCCTCATTTGGTCATCTACTTCCTGCAAAAGAAGGTGGTTTGCATTATATAAACACAAAAGTGCCACCATTTATCTATTAGCCAACACTGTGTTCATTGTTGGAACATACCTAGTTGAAATAGGTTGCTATTTTATCACCAAATAGTTCATGCTCAAGTGATCAACCCTCTATTTCATTTGCATTAGAAATCAGCTAGCCAACATCTTACAAATGGATTGTCGCATTTTTGTGTTATGCCTTATATAATTTGATCTTTTGTTGTGAAAGGTCTTAGACTTAAAAAATTCTCCGATTTATTTAAATTTCACGAAAATGAAATATCCTTCTCATGTGCTACTAAATGAATCGGAGAATTTTCCTTTTGTATTGTGTTCCTTTTTTTCTTTGCTTTCAATAATTTTTCTATCTTATGCAAAGTTAAATGACAATCTCTTGCAGCGAGTGCGAATTGAAGAAATCAGGAATGATGATTGGTTCAAGAAGGGTTATGTGGCTGTCAGGCATGTTGAAGATGAGGATGTTAATTTGGATGATGTGTATGCTGCTTTTGATGATGCTGAGGTTGGGAGAATTTTAGCATGCTTTCCGAACCCAGTTGCAACTAATTTTCAAAAAAAATTGTTCAGTTACAGTTTAGTTCTTTTTGGACGTTAACGAGCCATGTGAAAGTGTTGATTTTCCAAATTTATGAATGCTGATTCTTAACTTGAGAAGATGATTTTGGTAAATTTTGCAAGTTGTTGACCGTTATTGCACCCGATGATTTTTTCCTGGTTGTTTATTGCACTCAATACAATGATCTAATTGAACTTAAACTTTCATTTTCAGTACTTAAAGGTTAATTAATTATAACTAGTAGCACTGGTGTCTTCAGGATCAGTATGTAAGTGAACATTCAGGGCACAATATGGGCCCTCTTATTCTGAATGCGTTTGACATGATTATTCTCTCAGAAGGCCTGAATCTTGCTGCATTGTTTGATAGGAGACAGGTATTCTTTTGACACTAGAATTTATTGATGATACGGTTTTCCTTTTTACATCATTTTTTATTAATATTTTTGACGCAGGTTTCCTTTTTTCACTTTTAATGATGTCTTTTTTGTCCTTTTAGGAATATGTGAAGCGTCAAGGCCGATTTGTTTCACAGAAACCAGCAAAGGTTGTTCTATCAAGTATGGAAGTTGTTGCGCAATCTATGGGTTTCAAAACTCATATACGTAATTTCAAGGTATTCTTGAGCCACTTTCCTTTGATTGTTTCTATTCGAAGTCAGATTCTTGAGTTTTCCAGCAATTTGTCTTTGCAAAGCCCACCATATGTCACATATGACAACCAATGAAAAGTGACTGAGTGATATTTAGCTACCGAAATAGATCTTCTGTAGGGAGGTACTGAGTCATATTGCTTTACATGAATACCTTTAGATGATAATTCAAATACCTTAGTTTTATGCACTAACCTGATCAATATTGCCACACATTGATTGAGTTTTTAGTTTTAGTAATCGAGTTATGGTACATTGTCTGCAGATGAGGGTGGAAGGTCTTTCTGCAAACAAGGCAGCACATTTCTCCGTCATTCTGGAGGTTAGGGTTCTTGCTAACCATTTTCCATTGTTCAATCATTTCAGTTCCCTTTGATATTGTATTGGTTATGAATAAGTTGTTCATTTTTTTTTATTTGCTAATATTGATTCAATTTAGTATTTGGATTTTGATAGGTTTTTGAAGTGGCCCCTGCATTTTTCATGGTGGATGTTCAGCAGGCATCAGGAGACATCCTTGAGTATCAGAAGGTACACTAGGACTTTAGAGGCTGCTTTTATTCAAAATGGCTGAAACACTTTATGATATGTCAATTACAATTCGTTTTTCGTATAAAGAACATGTTTTCCGAAACTGTGGCAGCTGTATTGAAATATTAAACTCCAGAAAGCTCTTGGTGGAACAGATTTGTGATGAATATTGAAATTCCCCCTATGACATTCTGTATGAGATTAGATTTCTTATCAAGGGATATCGGGATCTCTCAATATTGTCTTTTATGTTTTTCCCAATCATGGGACCACATATTAGCAAGCAATTTATTCTAAACCAGTGTAGGGTAAATCGAACCGGAACGGTTAACCGGATATGGGGCCGGAAGCACCGCTTCCGACCTAACCGGGCAAGTCCCGGGCGGTCACAAAAGTGTTAAAAAAATTAAAAAAAATACAAAAAAATCGAATAAAATATGAAAAGTATATTTAAAGCATGATTAAAAAAAAATATCCAAATGAAGTTGAAAATTAATGAAAAAAATGGATTTTAAAGAGTCAATTTGGGCCTAGGTGTATTTTTAAAATTTTCTAAAAAAGATGGAAAAAAAAAGTATTAATAGCCAAAACAATTTCCATTCTTTGCCAAAATCATGAAAAACATTAAAAAAATTCATTACAAACAAAGTACCTTATTTTGTGGGATTTTATATAATTGTTTTTGAATTTTTTAAAATACAGGGCCCAAAACCGGCTGAAACCGGAACCGGCGAGTGGCCAGTTCCAATCTAGCTGGTTCTAACCAGGTGGTTAGAATTTGACCCGCCCGATTTTTCCTACACTATTCTAAACCGTGCTAGTAGTCGTTTATAGAAATGTTAAATTCAGTTCCTCTTTGCTATCAAAATTTTATGCATCTTGAAGCTCATGAGAAGTTGAGCAGATCTCCTATACTGCATGAGTTATTTAGACATTTGAAAAGGAAAAGAAAGGAGCATTATCATTCATGTCGATGGAGTGTGTTTTTTTTTTCACTTCTATGATTTCTGAATGATTGAAAATTCATGGAATTGTAGGTCTTTCCAATGTCCCTCTGCAATTTCTGCTAATGTTATAGTGTACTGCCTCCTTGAATCAGAATATCAGATTGGTATCCAATCTTTGAGGTTCTTTAACTACTCTGAGGTTCTGATCAATCTCTTTGCTCATGACTTCTGCAGTTCTATAACAACTTTTGTAGCAATCTTGAAGATATTATTTGGAAACCTCCTGAGGAGATGGCAAAACCGAGGCTTTCTATGAAAAGGCTTTGAGTATTCAAATTACCCTCCATTCCTAATTTAACAAGCATTCACCCACTTCTTGACTAGTTGCAGTTTGAGTTAATTTATGAGTTGAGTATTATATCATTATTATTGTTATAGGGATGGTATACTATAAGACCATTACCCTTTGGTGCAAGGAGGTCGCAATTGCTGTACCGTCAAATGTCAAATTCTACAGCTTGGGGTGTGTCACAAATATCGAAAAATTCTCTTTTGAACTTTGAGACTAATCAATGGCACATCCCTAATTGTTGATTTCAAATCTGATATTCAATAGCAATTATTACCGCTTTGTACCAAAGATAAATGGTGGTATTCTATACTTTTCCGTTGTCTTAATATGTTCACTAGGTTTTATTCATCGCTACTCTTAAGTATAGAAGCTGGTTATTAGGTTGCTTGATAAGAACCAGTTATTGTGTTTAATTATTATTTTCTGTTCCATTTACGCCCCCATCAAATGTGAATTATGTTAAAATCTATTATTGTAATATGTCTGATGACTCGCTTGCTGATCGTATGAGATATGCATGAAACATGAAGAGAAGGTTATAGTGGTCACTCAGAATGACTTGATGATGTTTGGGCGCGTCATGCTAGGTCTTGCAGTTAGCTCTAGTTAGAGCTGTTTGGTACTCATTTTGAGCATCCCATCATTTTGAACCCCCCTTGGGGTTCCCCCGTCTCTCTCTCCGGTGCACGTGTTCAAGTTCCAACAATTGATTGGTAAGCAAAAGAACA